GAATCCTTTGATACGAAGCTTGATAACTCAAGCTTGGTTTGATACTAACGTAAGCAATTCAAGCTCAGAAATATAATAAAAAATAGATTACTTCGTGTTTTATATAATATTAAAATAACTCAGGAAAAAATATTTTATATAATTATATAAAATTATACAAAAATATATATAATTTATATATAATTATACATATAAATAGATATATTTTATACATATAAATAGATATATAAATAGATATATTTTGTATATTATTGTATATACAATTATATATAAAATATTTTTTTCCGGGCACGTTTCATTTATAAGTCAGCTCCGGCCTTTTCTATTTGATTAAGAATGTAATCCATGGACGTTGGTGTGGGTAACGGATAACATTTCACTACTATGCGAAAGAAATTGCCCAAATTCGATTGCGGTAAGGACGCATAATCGATCATGAAAGATCCATCCAAAATTAAACGTTTTTTTATTTCTACTGTGACAATGTATATTCTCTTCCACCAAGTTGGAGTCTCTTCCGCATTACGCATGCTCGGAGGTATGTACCTAAAAGAATTCAACACGATAAAATTACGAATTTTGCGGAATATATATAAGATTTCTTACCAAAAGCAAATAGTGGTACTATCGTATTGTTCCAGTACCGAGCGAAAGCCATCGGTCTTTTTAATTTGTGTCAGTAAGTATTTTGCACAGAATATAGCTGTATTCACCAATTGCTGTAAACCACTCATGCCGCGAGCTTTCCACATCAACCAAAATTTCATTGCGTCGATCTTGAGACATTTTATTGTGTTATCAAATATTAGAATAAGAATATAATTTTCGTAGTCATAAAAATTGAATAAAATTTTAATTGGTTAATCATTGTGTTTAATCTTTCAAAAAAATCTATTAAGTGTCTTTTAAAGTCTTTTAATTTCTTTTGTAAAGAGTTTCAATCTGAGAGCCGCATTATTGCTACACAGATTTTAAATAACTTTAAACTTTTTGCTGTTTTGCAAATTTAAGATAAAAAATTGCTTTCATTAATATTTTAATATTATTTAAAAAAATATTACGAAATTAAATTATTTATTTAATTTGTTCTTGTTTTAGCATTAAAAATATGACGGAAAAAGTAACCAATTATTACTTTTTAAGTAACAGTAACAATAATAAGCTACTTTTAAAAAGTAATTTTTCCATCCCCAGATATTTTGTATACTTATCAAATAGATTGTGATTTGTAATTACCTTTCTATTATATTGTATACTCTTAACATTCGTGTTTAAGTCGTACATAAATGTGTATTTTTCTTCTTCCATTAATTGTATTGTTTTTAAGTAAGAATGTGAACTGTTAAATTGACTTTGCATTAAGATCATAGAACACTGGTATGGTGCACCAAGCATATTATGTGGATTCCAAGTTACTGAACACGAACTACATCATTCGGAACAAAGAGAAGATAGTTGATGATTACTTTGTACCAAGGAATTTTAGTTTTAAATCTTCTAAATACAAATACTGCCAAAGGAAAAAAAAAATCCTTTGAACTAGTAAACATTGTTCAACATTTTATTAAACAGATTTCATTTATTTCAAATAAATCGCGTACGTAAAACAATTATCTAGAATCGATGTACAGATCTTTTATAATTCGATTGATTATGTTATAAATGATTGTTACGTCGACATTGAATTACAGAATAGTTGTTTCTTTTTTCAAGAATAACTACGAACCGTTCAATGCCTCGTAATCTATGTCGGAACAGTTTGGAGAACATCAAAGAACCACAATCGCGAGCCTGCAAATAATTTTTTATTCATATTGTTTCCCTATAGTTCTAATAATATTTTTTATATTGTATCTTTTATATTGCATACGAACATCTACGTGTATCCATATGTCCCATTGCGTGCAAATTTTTATTATTTTCCGCAACGGATCAATAGCCCCGAATATGGGAGTGCCAGCAGAAGCGTTTATAAAAAACGGTACTGTCCCCAACATTAACACTTTCTTTAAAACTGTTTTCAGATTATTTGTATCCATCCGACCAAACTTATCCGTTTTTACCTGTAACAAAAGGAAATGCGATTATCAACTCTAATTAAATTTAATTTAATCGAATTTAAGAGAATATCAATGAGACTGCCAAACTTTAATAGAATTAATACTATATTTTTTCGATGAAATACAATTTATACACGCATATTAACATATCATTACCTATTATTACCTACTATTACATCGCCATACAGCACATTTTATTGGAGAGATATACTGGGAATGTCTTTAGGACATTCAAAGAATATAAAAATCCAAAGAACATAAAGAATAAATGTCCTTCGGGCATCTTTAGCTCCCTTTGAGAGCTATGGATCAATACCGCATGCAGCATATGTATAAATTTTCGTAAAGAATTTTTATTCGAATTAAGCATCTAAATTCAATTCTAAGAATTCGACGTTATTTTTTCGTATTAGCTACTAGTCTGGAGACTTCAATTTCGTAAAAACAGAATTGTGTTTTTATATCAAGCAAATTTTGATAGTTTTTACATATATTATACTGTAAGAAATGAATAAGAATAAAAAAGATCTCGATTTCAAAACTTTTTTTTATTTTTGGCAAACTACATTCACCAGATCACTATTAATGTATATTTCAATTCCAGAAAAGAATTTTTAAATCTATAAAAGTAATATATACAAAAAATACATATCAAAAATTCTTTACAAAAATTATTACGTTCAATCAGTAAAACAGATGACGCCAGAATCTCTTTAAAGACCGAAAGATTTTTTTCCAGTATTTAAGAAGAAAAATTAATGTTATAAATATGTAGATATCATCTATACCTACATTTTTTGACAAACATTTGTTCCAGCTAAAGTAACTCAAAAGCTAACTTTACACTTAATTAATAATATATAAATAATTTTATAATCAAGATATTCAAAATTGATGGAAAAAACTAATGAAGTAAATTTGTGGCTGAAGTAGCATCTGAGCTAAATCAAATCAATTCAGAAGATAATAATACAAATAAAAATTCTAAAATTTTAAATTTTATTCTAAAAATAAAACTTAAAAGAGCAGGCAGAAGTTCTATTTCGATAAATAATTCTTGTCCTTGACAAGCAATAATAATACCGTGTAAACGTTTTTGGTACCAAAGCCCAACCAATGAGCAGCTGTCATAACGGAATGATAGCCACATTCACTGGTAATGCACGATAATGAAATATATGTAGGTAAGTTTTGTCTATTAATTTGATTCAAGAAATGTGCTTCTCTAGCGGCCATCATTGCATACATGATCGATACAGTGCCATTCGGCGTCATTATGCCATCGCTGCGAAATGGATAGCCCATCAACTTCAATGACGCTTGTATCACAACCTTCTCTATCAGAGTAAATACAGGAGCGTTTTCGTAAATATCCCTAACAATAAGAAAAATAGTCAAAAATTATAAATGTGAATTACAATTTAACAATTATTTTAACTATTATTTAATTTGTTGATCTCAAGCAGAATAAAAATTGTAATATCAAAATGTCATCAAAAGTGGTGATTATATTAAAAGTCACTTTACGATATTAGTCATGGTTCCTTTTAATGTCATTTATCTATTATTCCGCCTAAGATCTCAAAAAGACAAATTCTTTAAGTTATTTCTGAAACTATTGTAAAATATGATTTTTATTTTAAAAAGAATCAAATTCTTTTTTTTTTATTTTAAAGTCTTTAATACGCATTAATTGAGATTATAAGGTCATCTTTTTAATTGCAAATTATTAATAGTATTATCTGTAAGAAATGATAACAGCATTGATTAGTAATCATATCAAACATATTTTTTTGAAAAAAAAATATGAAGCATTACATTTCTCGATCAAAATAGACTCTACAGCCATTTATAGTCAATAATCGATTCTTCTGTTTAAAATTGTCTTAAGTATAGTCATAAATTAATCAGAGGATTAATTTGCATGTTAAAACATTACTTAAGTTTTACAATATAAAAAGTTTTACAATATAATATAAACGAACTATGAAACACCGTCGTATATCTACTAATATTTTTAATTGTTAACTAATGGAATTACATTTACATGCTAGTGTTCAATATTTCCGTTAAATAGGAGCCAATTAATCCATACTCGTCGAGGCCTCTATAAAATTTATTATGAAAATTTGGACTGAACGTTTTCAGAGATCGTCGTATAATCTGTCGTATTACGTCTTCGATTTGCTCATCGCTTGCTGGTTCATTGTTCAAAGAAAATGATATCTCCTTCTAAACAAAAATAATGTTGGATGAGAAATTCGTGATGATAAAAGATTTTAGCTAAATCAAAGCTAGATTTAGAAATGGTATATAAATTCACATGTAATTATTTAAATATTAAGATTCAGTTTTGATTCAGTTTGTTTTCTAGTATAGTAGTAGAGTATATGCTTCGTTTCTCGCTTGTTGTATATTCGCATTGTATGATCAATAAACCGTTTTATTGTTGTAAAAAATGTTCTTATTCTAATCAGCCAGCCATTATTATAATATTAATTATTAATTATCACTATTGTAAGTACGACCAAAAGTGTCGAAGTGTTCGTGTCGCTAATATATCGTCCTTTTAATATTATTGAGATCACAATAGTAAAGCATAACAAACCATATAAATATTTAAATTATTGTTAACTTTATTTTTAACGTTGTTTAATATCAGTTTCATAATAATTTCTTTATCAATTGTTCACGTATGCATATATTTCGCATAGATAAATCAAACAAATGATTTATTATGCATTTATACTTATTTGAAAAATATATAACATTATAATTAAATTGTAAGATAATCGTAAGATAGTAGTAGAAAGAAATATAATGTAAATTATATTATAAAATAAAAGTATAATTTTCAAGTATTACAGATAAAAATATTATCATAATAGTATAATGTTGAAAAGTAAAGAAAAGTCAATATATAATTCAAACGAAAGCAGATTAACACACACACACACACACACACACACACACACATACACATATTTCAAGTTGACTATTAGCATAAGAAATTAAATTATTATTTACCTGCAAATCTTCGGGACAAAGGAATTGTATAAGAGGACGATCACCAGTTTGATCAAACACTTGTTCCTCTTTGAAAATCTTTATAAGCTTCTCCAATAGCTCGATAACACCGCACTTAGCACTTGATGCTGCCATTACGAAGATTATATTGTAATAAAATGATCAATCGATAAGTTCGACTTTCTTGTTGGATCCCTTCCATTTCGAGTTATTCTAAATGCTGTGTTTATGTTTATGTGTGTGTATTTGAATTATTATTATAATGCAGCCGGTAATTCTCATTGTATGACCGCGTTATAACAATGTTATACTTTATGTTTATTAATTATATAATAATTATTGTAATATATATAAAAATTTATCTGTTAGGATCCGTCATTCTTAAGTTGCAGTTTGCCTGTCCACGAGATATTGATATGCTATTAACATATGAAATATTTAAAGCAAAGTTATATTTTATTATTAATAAAATAATTATTAATTAATAATCTTTTTACAGCTTTGTATTTTGTATTTGCATATCAATTTCATTCAATAAATAAACACCGAATAAAAGTCGTGAGTAATTTTTATAAAGAAATTGTATGATTATATTGATCTTAATTTTTTTTATTTAATTTAATAATATAGCTTTCATTTTTTGAATTTAAATATTGTTTATTATGTTTTAAATTCTATCTAATTACAAGTCAATGAAATCATTTAATAAACAGATTTTAAAAACGAGCGTTTATATAGAATATCCGATAATTCTGACGGACATTTTTGCAATAATTAACAAGATATTAATTGTTAAAAATTACCGAAAGTTAGTTTCAATAATTTTTTATTTAAATATTATTATCTGCACAGAAAAACTGCAAGAAACAAAAATTGTTTATTTTCTTCTCATAGAGTTCTAAGAATTTTTTCCATCAGAACAATTAATGGATACCCTGTATATAAGTAAATATATTTGTTTGAAAAATATATTTTACATGAAATTCTGATTAAATCTTATTTTATGTTATAATTATTATTATTAAGTGTTATTTGTTGGATTATCATACAAACGTAACTTGTAATTGCAAGAAACCTAGATATATTTCACTACATTTCTCATATCAAATCAAAATAAAACAAAAAGTAGTTGAATATAATTTAAAAAAAAATTTTTTAAGGCACATTAATTATCACCAATTTTGTATTGTGCAATATTCCATTCTCTATAGAAAACTTCAGAGGTTTGAGCTTCACGTCTTTCATACCTGTAATAGCATAAGCAAAAAATAGTAAATAATATTTAACTAAAGAAGAAATAAAAATCATCATTATCTTGTTTCACTTCATCAAATTTAATTTAATATTTTTATATAAACTTCTATATTTGTCATATTGTAGTCTTATTGTCATTGGAAAGACTAATGGAAAGACTCTGAAATATTTAATCTAATTCTATTTAATCTAATGTAATTCGTACCAAAATCGTGTCTTTCCTGATTACTTGTGGCGTGATGGACGGTGCTATAACATCGAGAGGTAAACGTGGGATGATACCTTTCATGGAGGCCCACTGACCTTCGCAGAGTTCATGAAAAGTCAAACGTAGCAATGATTGACCGCCTAGTATACCTGGCCCCCTACATGTTGCACCAGCTCCAAATTCCCAGATACTCCAATTACCTGTCATAATTAAAACCCGCTGTATCTGCAACGGATTGGTTAGATTCGCAAAACTGGCGAATCTTTTACGCAGCCAAGAAGCAACATAAGAGGCACGACAATCGCAATGCCAGGGATTCTGACTCAGACGTACTTGCTGAATTGTGAATATAGCGTCCATACTACCAGCTGGCAAGAAGGAGAGATCATTTGATTCCAGTTGTCTAAAAATTACGGTATGACGTAACAGAACAGAGAGAATGAGAGAGAGAGAGAGAGAGAGAGAAGAGAAGAGAAAAGAATATTGTTTTTTTTATTTATAATAAACAAAAATAGATTTCTAATCTAAGTCACAATAATCAGATTTATAAAACAAATATATAAATTGAAATTTTATTTGTATATTTAAAAAAGAATTTGTCATAATATAAATATATAAAAAAATTAATAAAAATATTTTGATGTTAAATAATATTAATTTTAAAATAAGTAACATTACAATTAAGTATTCTTAATATTGACTCACAGTTTCCGTAAATTTGGCGTGTCTTCAAAAACTCCTGATTGTAGTATCCTTAGTCGATTGGATTGCAAAAAAAGAGAAGTAAGATTGAACAAACCGCGAAAAACGCCTCTTACTAGAATTTCTATGCGATTGCCATAGAGAATAAGACGTTTCAAAGACATAGAATTATTAAATAATCCAGGTGACAAATATTTTATATGATTATGACCTATTCGAAGTTCTCGAAGCGCTGACATACCGTGTAATGCTTTTGCATCAATCTATAGCAAAAATTCAAATTATTTACTCTCAAAGAGAAATGACCTTCTGAAACTTTATAATATGTTGCATAAATATATTATAAATACTTTTTATAACATTGTAATTCTTTAAAATAAAATTGAAATTTATGTAAATAATATTTACACAAGATATTCTATTGCTTGATATTTCTAGAATTTCTAATTGTGCCAGAGTTAATAATAATCCCTTGGGCAATTCCGTTAGTCGATTGTTCCGCATATTCAATTCTTTGAGAGACGTCAAATCTTTGAATATATCGTTAGGCAGCTCTTTTAAACGATTTTCCTCAAGTGCAAGGCGTTTGAGATTAATAGTATCCCGGAAAATTGAAACAGGTAATCCAGCTAATCGGTTTTCACCCAGCAATAATTCGTCAAGATTCCCAAGGCCGTGAAATGCACCAGGAGGTAACAACGAAATACGATTGGAGGAGAGATCCAGCAAAACCAAATGACCATTGCTCAAAAAAAGATTTTCTGGCAACGTACGAAGTTTATTTGACGACAAATCGCTAAATAGAATAAAAAATTTATATTAAATTTTTAATAAGTTGATAAAAAGACAAGAAATTGAATTTCAACTCAAAGAAAAAATAAATATCAGCACATTTAATAATATTTTTTTTGCAAGATGTATTAAATATAATGAATTTTAATATAATTATAAAAGTATATACAAAATACACTTCTATACGTTAAGCATTTAAATATTGTTTTTAACTTTCTAGCTAATTTTTCTCAAAATAACTATTAAAAAATTATATAAAATTTCTATTGAAAAAAGTATTGATATGATCTTGAGTTAGTTCTTGTATTTCTTTCTTAATTAATAGTATTAGTAATTAAGTATCCAACGTACAGTATTCGAAGATTTCTTAATTCATAGAATTGATTGCGTTGCATTTCCTTCAAAAGGTTATTACTTAATCTGACATTTGCGATACCATGCAACGGCAGAAACAGGCTTGGTGCCAAATGCTCTATTAAATTACTGCTTAGATCTCTGTAATTCACAATTTCATTAGTATATTATACATGCATTTCTCGATTGTTACACAACTCACAGATGGTGCAACTGCGTCATATTCTTAAATGTGTCTCTGTGCAGAGCGCTGAGCCGATTACTTCCAAGGTCTCTGAAAAGGCATGCCAAACAAATAATATTTTTATTCATGAAGCATATATATATTAGGTGTAGTAAAAAGAAATCCATTATTTTTCCATTCAATTTTATGCAAAAATAATGGATTTCTTTTTACTACACCTAATATTATACATATATTATATGAGAAGTATACATAATATAATATTATTATATATTATATATATATATATCATTATATTATTATATAGAGCATTTCTATCTTTAGGTTTAACTCGATTACTTTTTAAAAGAGATCCGTCATTACATATCTGTTCAACAAACATGACGATAATATTATTTTTTAAATTGCTTACAGCCTTAACACATCGGCAGGGACCAATTGCGTCGAAGGCAGATCCAACAAATTGTATCTCCAACAGGACACCGATTTCATTTCCGGTACGCATTTGCACGGTCCTTCAGCACAGATCTCCCAGTCCTCCTCTTTCAGGCTGATTCGCCAAACTGCAAAAGCATGAGTGTTCTTTCGTATCTCCGTTGTACATAAATCTCACGATTTTTACCGGGATATTCGACCGCTCGCAATCTGCGTTCGAAACTGGACAGACGATTCTTCATCTCCTCAAAAATCGACATTGATTCCTCTGAGAGGGCCGGCGTTGATGAATATTCCGTATCTGCGCTCATATGAGATGTTTTATCTCAAGTTTCGCGAATACGCATTTTGGATATTGTATCGAAAATACGTGAAAAGAGATATATAAGAAAAGTATAGTAGTTTCGAAAAATATTATTTTTTTATTCTTTTTAAGCGAGAAGATCTATCTTTCGAAATATTTATTTTTTATTTTAGGATTTTTAAGGTTAAAAAGTTCTTGAAATTTTAAACAAAAAGATATGCATTTTCATAAATGATATTTTATCTCCATATATAATCTCCATCTAACATTTTCAACTTCACACAGTATAATAATCATTACAGTATAATAATTATTAATACAATTTTGACTGGATTGCTTTTAGTATTTAGTTATTCTTAAGATTTAATTCAAATTGTTAAAAATAATTGTTAAAAAAAAATAATAGACGAATATATTTAATTTATTTAATTACCTGTAGAGATCCGCATACTTGCGGTGCACATATGCGAGACGAAAGAGTACGTATTCGTTTTGCACAATGAAAGGAAAACGATTACACAGTAAATTTTTGAAGATAAGTCGGTCATGTCACGGACGGTTCGGACTAAACAACACATCATAGACGGGACAAAGTGCATCAGACTGAGGATGCGGTTCCCAAGCCAACCGTTGTCCTTCATTGCGTACGACCACATCCTCATTATCTTGGACATTGATTTGGAGGATAAACTTATTACAATGAAGATTGACGGACAATGGCTCCACGCGTACAAATTATGGCCTTTCACGTGACGATCGTATACATCCTATTGACAAATCAATTTTCTAATATTTATAAGATATCTAAAAAATAATTAATCGGCATAAAATTATAAAAACATTAATTATTTGTTATGTAAATATGTTTGTTATGTAAATAGTAAATATATGATTATTTTCTAAACATTACAATTATTTATTTTACGATTTTACGATAAAATAATTTAATGAAATGGTAAATAGTTACGTAATATTGAATCAGAACAAGTACAATAAAAAGGACAATTTTTTTTCAGTTTATAAATTAATGTGTTTTCTATTATTTGCCATCTAGAAAATAAACTGTAAAGCTTTGACATTTATTTATCAATCGGTAATGATATCTTGTGATAGAATGTGTCGACATCATTCGTTATATTGTAATTACAAGAAAGTGACGGAAATATTACGCACATGTGTACATTATAAAAACACATGATATATTATTTAATATTATAATAAATAAAATAGGAATTAGATATAATAATATTCTTTCTTTCTAGCAAAATAACAAGTATAATAATGGGTAAAGGTTTTTTTCTGTTTAATTTTTAATTTTTTAAATAAAAAAAAGTCTCTTTATAACGGGTGTATCTCAAAATTAAAATGCATATAATATTTTATATGCTTACTTACGCGATTACATAATAAAAATAAAAAACAAAATAAATATGGAAATTATTCAAGTATTTCAGAATAAAATTAGAATATATTTTCTTATCTTACATATTTGTGTAAGGACAGATTGTAAATGCGATTAGAAAGCCGGTTTAAATTTGCGTACCGAGAATACATTCTATTCAGTACCTGCATACACAACTTACATAATTAGAAACTATATACTGGGATCAATTACGTCGCAGAAAAGGAAGTGATTATAAAAATCAAAATCAATTGTTGCTCATCATTAATATTTATTAGATAGGTACATTTTACATTGTATATTCGTACATAGCATTTAGTTTAGTAATCAATTTTGTCGCGTAATTATATCCAGCTTATTTGCGTACCATCATTTCTATTCTCTCATCATTAGAGGAAGAATTACATTGTTACAACATGTTAAGATTCATTTACTCAAACTAAATAAATTTACGATAATAATCTAATAGTTTATTCGAATATATATTATTAGTATTCTATTCCGCGGTTCTTGATGCTTTTCCAAGATCGAGTGATTGTTTAGGACAGTCTTACTCCGCCGGATCCAGGACACTCTCCTTTGCTCTTTACAGCCAATTCTAAGATTAAAGTACAATATGATTAATATAATTAAGCTAATTAATATAATTAATATAAATAATTAATATAATTATTATTTAAATGATTAATAAGATTAATACAATTTATACTTCTGCTTTCATGCTTACTTGTGCCCATTTCGCAATTGTGAATATCCAGAGCGCACTGCGTTCCAAAAGTTCTCGGCTTAAAGCTGGAGTCGACAGGATCGTGAGCGCAAACAGGATCATAATCAGTCCCGCAATCTCGCGCGCAATCCTTCTTATTCTTCTTTGCTTCCTTGGCCGCTTTGATAGCGTCTTTTATGTCTTTCGACGCGGTCGCAGCTTCTTTGATATCTTTAGGTTCCTTTACATCCTTCATAGTGGTGTCGACTTTTGTCTCGTCGGGAAAAGCGTACGTTTTCTCGCATAATGTAAACATGCTGAGGAACGCGAAGGCTAGGAAGAATCAAGAAAAGAGACAGAAAGAGAGAGAGAGAAAAAAGGATATGAAATTAAAGATAATTCGATTTTAATCCAATATTTTTCCATTTCTAATCAAACATTTCCACAAATGACAGAATAGATTTTACTTAATTACAATAATGATAAAGAAGATATTGATAATATCCTCTGATAATTATAAAAGATTATCACTGTAATGAAACATAATTTTAAATAATTAATACAATTTTCGAAAGCCTTTCTATTAGCGAATTACAGACAGGATAATATTACGTAAATCTATTAATAATAGCTTAGCCTCTCTGCTGGGATGCTGCGCGGCCTTAATACGCGACTTTATTGAATGATTGCAGCTTTATTGAAATCAAGGTTTATTTTAAATCGAGATCAGTCCGCTCCTTGCGGCGATTGACGTTTCTTCACTCAAGGTCGTTTATGCCCACGCCCATTTAAAGACATTTCCTTTTGCTGTGAGACTTCTTCAAAAATTTCAATTGCTCTCTCGCGCGAATCATAGTTGCGATTTTCATTCTTCTTACATAATTAATCAAAAATAAAACGCATAATTTTGCATAATTTTACGGTGTATTGTCAACTGAGATCAGGTCAAACTAGATTTCAAAAAACGCAATTTTAAAAAAAGTGCTTATTGCAATAACATCGATTTAATTGCAATAAAATTGCATCGATTTAATTTTTTCAAATTTTTTATAGTTAATATATCTAATCTTCTTTCTGATTTTATTGCTTCTATTAAAAGTTAATATATAAACAAGGTTTTATAAAATCTCTACAAATACGCAATCAATTAACAACAATATAAACTGCATTAAATATTGTAATATTTTAATATTATGTTAAAATCTTTCTATATTTTTTAAATGTACACAAGTAAATTATTAATTCAATCTATCAGCAGATTTTTAAATAATTAATATATTAATATTAGTAAATATTAAATAATTTGAGTATTTATTAAATACTCAAAATACTCATTATATATATTTGAATTTGCTTAGGAAAAGATATATTCATTGTTAGTTGATTACAAGAATAATCAATTTTAGCGCTAAAATCTTAGTCGTTGCAGTTTTCGTACCAACTATAACTGCTACCTCCATTGTTCTAGCTGATCGACGGTCCGGTTGAAAATCGATGAAAATCAGCAGTTCTAAGCACAGCGAATGGCTATCACGAGAGAACTGGCATATCGTGTCACCATGCTACGTTTATAAACTGAGTGTAAATCTATCCCCACCTGAGAGAGAGATTGAGAGAGGACGTATCATGCCTGGTGAGAAAGGACGTATCATGTTAATCTTACTTTATGTGGCGCCTCATTTTCATATCCGACGTATTCGCTAAAGAAACGCAGATTGTAATTAATTAATTAAACATTTTTACAAAATACTACTGTCTATGTAAAATAGAGAATGTACTCAATTTTTACATAATTTAAATTTTTACATAATATTATATTATCATGAATTAAGATAGCCGATCATCACTCTGCAATTTCAATTGAATAATTCACATTTTACATTATAAGTTTATTATTCAAAAATAATTTTCCCTTTTATCAATAAAAGGCATATTAAATACTACGCATTCAACATTATGCAGATGTATCTTTATATTTGACATACATGTAAGGTCAGCAAAAGGTAAATTTGTTTTATTTTCCAACGTACTTTGCTACTTGGTACACAGTGGCACCGAATAATCATGATATCACAGTGCTGTAAAAGGAAAGATCATTCTTGTAATCTTCTCTAATCATGTCGTTCTGACTGACGTCGATTACAAAGAAGATTTGACAGCGCTCTATATTCATATATAGAAATTTTTAATGGATTCCTTTATATAAAAATTTTTTTAATTTATTTTTGTAATCAAAAATCGAGAGAATAAATACAGCATTTTGTATATTGATGAAATAATTTTTATAAATATGAATAAGTATACATATAAATAAATAAAATTACAAAAGCAGGGAAAAATGACGTGACAATGAAACTTAATGATAATGTAAAACTCTCAATGTCCTCTTTGTTCTGTGAGTTGCCTCTCTTCCTCTACATAACTCTTAAATAAATTTAAATAATCATGCCAAGATTCGTGGAACGTAAATGCCTCGACAATGCGACACGCAGGAGTCGTGCATTTCTTTGTTGAATTTGAACGAGCATTGTTTTGCGTCTCGTACTTCTCAACGGAGCTTTTTACTATATCTTCGAAATTGTTTAATGTTTCCATACTGACATAAGCTAAAAAAAATGAAAATAGCGAAGTATAATAAATAAATTAAGAAAATAATAGTTTTAATTACAACAACATTTTCGTTTAAAAAAAATCTCATTTTAAATTCATTATAAAACTTTTATTATAACTAAAGTTGGAAGTTCGGAGATTTAATCTAAGAACTTACGCGCTGAGAACTTGCGATCCTCGTCGTCTTTATTGGAAACTTTTTTCTTGATGATCTCAAGTTTAGGTATGAAAAGCAGCAAACAGATTACTGCAATAAATTTCACGATCATTTTAAAGATCACCAATTTTAATATGATTTTCGCGATGGTAAATGCATTTAATTTGAGAGCAAACGGCAATCCTAGGTCAATACTTGGCAGAAGGGAAATTTGAGCCACATCCGAAAGCGCGTAGGGTGCACTGTAAACCGGAGGTGGAATGGAAGTATGTATTGAAGAACCATATCCTAAGAAAACAAAAAGTTAAATACTCCGTAATCAAGTAATCAAAAGCTCTGAAAATATAATCCAAATCCTAATAAAATTTAAAATAAAGGAAAAAAATTTCGAAGAATTAGAAGAAGAATTAATTTTATTAATTAAAGCTAATTAAAATAATGTCTGCAAAATTTATTAAATTATTGTAAAGCTATAACATTATACATTTATAAATTTTGAGGAATTTTAAGCAATTCTTATTTAAATATGACAAAAAATTAATAAATAATAATAATTATATATATATATAGATAAATGTAATTAAATTTTTCTATTATAATGTAATTTTGTACCAAATTTTAATGTAGTACTAAATTTATTATAATAATAATTATAACGTAAACTTAAGTGGATCAAGTCATTTAATTTTGATAATCAATAATACCTCTTGTCTCACCTTGTTGAGGTGGTAGATAATTTCCGGATGATCCATATGAAGAAGTTTGAGGATATAGCGATATAGGACCATTATTCGGAGATTCGTACGAATTTTGTGGCGGACCATAAGAATTCTGTGGTACGCTATAGCGATTATTATAATCCATTGACGACTTAAAGGATTGAGAATAAGAATCGCTAGATGAAAGAGCATTGGGCTCACCATAAGTAATTCGCGGACTTTTCGATGCGTATATCGAATCGGGCGAACCATACTCTGTTTCTGGCTTGTAAATAGGTCCCTGCACGTACTCTCTCCTATTTATCTTCGTCTTTGAGTCCGTCTGTACGATCCCTTCTCGCAGATCATCGCTGTTATGTGAGTGCATCAGTGCCTGAAGATAGCTATCCTTTTTCCAAGCGGTTTTCGGACTTTTGCTAATCCAAGACTTTTGATTATCGACATGAGAACCGCGAGGACCCATATTCTTTGAGATGGTTCTTTGGGGGATGACATATTCTCCGGAAGATATTTGACTAACAATCGTAGGAGATACGAAAGGAACATGTTTTGTAGAAACGATATGATTAGAATCAGTGACGATTGAGGGTTTAGTCGACAAAGGAGGACCGAGGATTAGTTCCTTCCCTAAAGTTATCGATGCTTCGGATTCTTTGGCCTCTATCTTCAGAGTCGATGCATCTGGTGTATCTTGATAATTCGGGGACATAGTTTTGTGGGATGAGACCAAGGTGAGAGAAAGCAAAAAAATTTCTAGAATCCAACTAAGTCGCTGCTTTTGTGACATTTTTATAATATGTTGGAGAAATATCTACAATGAAAGACATATAATAAAATTAATTTATAAATTAAAATTTATTTGTATTTATAAAAATTTTTCTAATATAACATCTCAATGAGGATTCTATGTGTTTTAATAATTTTAACAACGATAGATTTTTGTTTTTTTTTTAACCTACATGAGTAAGACTTTAATAAGATATTAAAGTAAATGTCAAACAATTTTAGAAGTTTTATAATACTGATCTTCCTCATACATACTCTAAATAGATATAGAATAGTATTTTAAATAGATAACACGACAGTGAATAGATTTAGAGAGTCTAAAAGCATTCTTTTCAATCAATTTTAATTAAAAAAAGAAAAGATAGAGTACAAGTAGTACAAACAAACAGCACGACATGAAACGCCTTCTAGATGAGCGCCGAAGATTCCTCTTGAATACAAAAACAAGCAAATGTCGTGCATACTAAACGCATAGCGGTCTTCGCTCCTTTTTAGGGTAATCATTTCAACAATAACCTTAATTCACGCATATGTAAAAATAATAAAACAATTATATTTTATAACTTTGCAATAGACTCCTATTGTATAATTTAACATTATAATATAATTTGTTTTATTATCGCTTGTATTGTTATTTGAATTGCTTTTTAAGTTTATTATTATAATATTTTTATTTATAAAATAATCTTAAAATTAAATTATAAAATAATGGCAAATTTATAAATACACAATAATATTCTTGAGGCTTCCTATATAAGGAGGCTTTCTATATAAAGATTATGTATTTCGCGGGTTTTCTCCAGATCCATTCTTGGAATGCCAACGTTTCGTAAAATCAAGACGAGTAGCCTGATGCTCATATTATCAGGCTGCCCCTCGTCCTGATGAAGTGGACTGCAAGGTTTATGAAACGTTGGCATTCCAAGAATGGATCTGGACACAGAGAAAACCCGCGAAATTATTAATAAAGCTTAATAGAATAATATCTAACATAGCTAATTAATTTTTAGACAAAAGTAATCGCAAATTTGATTAATTTATACATATATAAGAAATAGATATATAAAACATTTTTTAAAAATAATTGTATTTTATGCCCACACTGTGCTTTTATTGTATATCAAAATCGTTTTATTATTTTTTTATTTAAGAAAATACATTTAAATTGTTTATGCCGCGAAATTAATCTCATAGCTTTATATATTTAAAAAATTAATTTTTATATTTATCAATTATATAATTTTTATATCACTTTTTATATCAAAATATGTTTACGATATCTACTATAATGAATAAAATAAAGACTTACGAATGATAAATATACATGCGTTGACTATTTCCACTTAAAAATAGTTTTCCACTTCCAACAAATGATAACGCGTACTTTTAGCTCCTCAATTGCACTCTAGGATTTCTTTCTTCTCCATAAATTTGCTTACTTGCGAATTATCCATTCCTGCATCAAACACAAAAATCTATAGAACTGTTCTAACGAGTGTTGACCTCACGAAAAACATTCTTGCTGACTGGCACTCACGTTGATCAAAGCTCGTGAATAAAAAGTCATCGTGTTTGCTTCGCCTATATATGCCGTTCGCATTCGGAAGGGGCACGAGATTCACGTTATTGGGTTACTATTCCACCGTGCCCCTTTGATACTTTCAGCACCACCATCGATTATTACTTCTGCCATGAAATATGTGAAAATCGTTTTAAATATTATTTCTTTATATATTTAAGAAAATATTTATTTAAATAATATATGTCACAGTATAGAAATTATAATTAAATAAAAATTATATATATAATTAATGATTCCTTATGTTATTATCAAATTATTCTTAATACTGTACTAATTCTAATTTTATATATTTTGAAATAAAGTTACTATTATAATATTACTATTAATAGATATTAAAATAGATAAATAATCATGTATATTTCTTTTAGAATAATTTTGTAAAAGAAAGAAGAAAATATGAAATTGTTAAAATTACTTTTAATGAGCACCTCTAATAAGTGATTCATAAAAAAATGACTGAAAAATTATTCTAATATTTATTATAAATTGTTAAAAGCTTTAAAACAATGGGAGGAGTCAAAGGCATGGTCATTATTATGTGCTGTATGATGCAGTCTATAACGGTATTACCATCTTTCAAACCTCCCACAATACTCTGATCCAGTGGCACACTTTTTTAGTAGCATTCTTTCGGTAATTCTATTATCTTCTAGAGAAGTATGCAAAATGTTGTATTCGATGAAAGTCTTAACAATTAGGTACATACATTCAACAAAACTCGTATAAAAAAATAAGAAAAACATTTTTCTTTTATATTATTTTTATATTGTTTTTACTTTTATATTGTTCTTTAAAATTATTTTTATTTTTAAATAACGCAAAATTTTTTTCACGATAAATTTTACTGACAAAAAAAATTTGTATCAATAATTTTTGTCAAAATAAACAATTTAATTTTGTAAATTATAAATTATAAATTATAATATTTAGTTATATAAAGTGTAAAATCTGTAGCTTATTACGAATACATTTGAAAGAATTTATTAAGCACAGTTTCTATGGCCACCCCCGATCAATATGCTATCTGGGTCTCTCAGCAACCAAACACGATGCTTATGCACGTGCAAGATTTGCTTGTCATACACAGAATTAAGAAGATTTAGAAACAATGCAAAAACAATAAAAATTTTTTATATATTTCAATTAGATTATAAAATATAGCAAAATGAGTTCTTCAACAATTGAAACAAGGTACGTTTTATTTTTTCGAGCTTGGCGAGTAAAGTATATTTTTTTAATGGATTTACATTGTTGTACAGGTGGATGAAGTTCGGAAAATCTCATGACTTCGTTTTTGTTGGAAAGGAAGCCATCGCAACGGCTTCTGGCATTTATGTGAGTTTTTTGGATCTGAACACGAGAGAGAGACGAATTGAACGCTTCGATAATAAAGAGAGGGGCGATGGTGCATCGTGTTTGGCTGGACATCCGGTATAGAATGCATACAATTGTTTATAGTATCTATTTATAGGTTATTGAATGTTTAAAAAAATAACTGTTAAATAATATTTTTTTAATTAAATCAATATTTTGAATTTTTCTAGACAGTTTCCATGTTTTCCGTAGTCGAGAGAAAACATAATCCCAAAATATCAATATATATGTATCCGATGCTACAAAGGATCTCCAGATGCATACTGCCCGACAAAATTAATGGTTATTTATCCTGTTCTTTTGCTGGTACAGAGTATCTCGTAAGCCTAACTACCTTCCCCGATTTTCAATTGATTGTGTGGCTCTGGAGAACCGGCAAACACGTTGCAATGCTTAACACAAAAATAGACAATCTTAATCAAGAAATTTAGTAAGTGTTCAGTAACTTTCCATAATACAATTTTTGTATTGAGAGCTAGCATTCTTTAATTTTTTCAATTTTTTTAAAAAACTTAATAAATTGTTTACTTTGCCAGTTGTTCACCGAATCCTCCACATTTGATATCACAACTTGGGATTGATAATAATACACTCTCGATCTATCAGGTGCGTACGTGCTCCAAAATCGTAAGTATACATCATGTAAACGCACTACTTCCTGAACACAGAATCGTATCTTCATCCTGGACATTAGAAGGAAATTTATTTGTCTCTGATGAATTCGGAAATGTATGGCTCGTGGCGATAGAAGCCAATAAATTGTACTCGGTGGTAAAATCGAAAATACGCGAACATCCAAAAAATAAGCCCATTGTTGTCACTCATAAAAGTGGCGTAATAGTTGTGAATCCCAATAGTGAAATTACGGTGTGTATTAATAAATATTTAATATAAATGAAACGTTAATTATTATATTTTATAAAATTATAAAATTTAATATAGACTAAAAACAGAATTAAGGGTATGCATTTAAAATATTGTCAAATACAGTTTTTGCAATACAAATGTATTTTATATTTTGTATTTCAGCGAAGCATATTATAAAAGTATCACTTATTTTGTATTTCAAATTGAAAGTTCGTAAGTTTTATGTATTTCGTAATTCAAATAATAAAATATTGTCAACCTTAGTATTTAAAATGCAAAATATAATACAATTGTCTTACAAATACTGTTTTACAAATAAAAATATTTCAAATACAGACCCTGCGCTAAAAATACATTATTGTTATTTTTGCACAAAGCTTAAATTTATTTATTGTATGATAATGAATTGTATGATTTTATTGTATTATTATAATCTAATTTTTATTTTTCTATGTATTACAATTTACAATATTTTAGTTTTACAAGAAGACGTCTGCGGATTGGAATGTGGCGTGGAAATTCATTTGGTCGATTTCGACTTTTTATTCTATACAAGTAGGAAAACAACATTATTTCAAAGATGGAATTTTACTTCATTCTAAAAACGGAGAAATTTTTGAGATTTGTACGCAACACGACAACATTCCTCATATAGAAGTTATTTATGCGGACGAAATTGAATACAAAGCATTGTTTTCTATATCTCAGCGTACAGAGCACGTCGCAACGTTAGACCGATTAGATCGTCTTTGCATTTTCGAGTTATTGACCGGTAAACTGACAGCGAGATTATCTCTGAAGCATCATGGTGAAGGTAAAATCAACATGAAGAAGCCTAAGCAAACATTTAATTTTTACTTAAAGCATATTAGATATACTTTTTTAATTAGTTAGATTACTATATCGTAATTATATATAGTGTCTTCTTTTCATTACAGTTCTTCACGTAGATTCACATCCTACTTTACCAATGCTTGTGTCGTGCAGCGCTACTGGCAATTGCATACTAATCGATGTTATAAAAGTTTCATTGCCCAAAATTTTTAATTGCTTCCATCTCTATGGAAACTTACTAGATAAAGTAAAATTTTCACATCATGGCGAACTTTTGGGAATTAGCAATTCTCAAACTGGCATAATGTTCATTATTGGTAAACGATGTAAACAACAACGTGTAAATGTTCTAGGATTTATAGAAATTAATGGATATGTAAGATTATATAAAATTATATTAAAATATTATTTAAAACATTACTTATTATATGATAAATTATATAAGAATAGAGATACGGTTTATGTGTTTTTTGAAGAAAACCTGAAAATAATTCGATATTTTCTTTTCGATATTTGCTTTTTTTTTAGATTGCTGATTTTTTGATATACGAAAAAAGTTATGATCGTTTTGAGATTTTGATCCTAACAACAACTATTCCTTCTATGGCTTCGATCGGTGGTAACAAGGTGATTGTGTACACTTGCAAGAACTCGGTTGAGTTCTGCACACATGCTGTTTGCATAATAGATATATCAAGACCTTTCAGGGCGCTCTATCATGGATGTAAGCCTCTGGACATATTAGGTGTACCTTCTTTGTCTAAACAGTTATATAAAATGGAAATAGAGGTGAATATTTGATTATACGTACAAAGTATGTAGTTGAAATACTAAATGAGTTAAATTATATTTTTATAAAAAATGCTTTATCTAAAAGGAGAATAAATTCATAAATTCATCAACATTCAATAAATATTGATTAATTTAAATAATTATCAAGATAACCCTAGCAGAAATTTAATATTTGCTAATTTAATATTTGTCAACTTAATAGCTAACTGAAAAGTAAGATTAATTACTTATTTTGAACATTAAGAAAACT